CTTTGCCTTGCCCGCCTCGCCCGAGTCGTTCAGCCCGCGGCGGTGTCTTGGCGCCGGCCATGCGCTCCAGCTCGCGTTCACTGCTGACCGCGAAGCTGGCGGCGCCGTGCAGCCAAGCTCGAGGGGCTCCTGCAGCGAGCGACGGGCGGTGGCGGCGCAGGCGGCGCAGGCGCGCTCGCCGGCGCCACCGCGCCGCAGAATTCCCTTGCGCTGCGACTCTGTGAGGCGCGCGTCGGCCGCGTGCGGGCAGGGCGTGCCGGCGGCCCGCGGCCGGCGCGCCGTCTCGGCCGCCGAGTCGCACTGGCCGCCGTGTAGGCGGCCCGGCGCCGCGCCGTCCGCCGGGCCGTACCCCAGCTCTTCCACCACAGCGCTGGAAGTCGCGCGCAGCAGCAGCCGCAGCGAACCCCAGTCGCGGATGTGCGAGAGGTTGCTGCCGCGCAGCGTCTCGGCATCGCTGCACGAATAGGGCCGGCGGGTCTTGCGGCGCGCGGCGGTCTCGGCGCGTGCCGGCGCCGGCGGCGGCGCCTGTGGACACAGATGCACGGACGCCTGGATCGGGCACTGCTCCAGGAACTGGAGGTTCGGCATCGAGTAGTGTGGGTAGCAGACGTAGAGCGACGTCCGGCCGGGCGGTGACGGCCGTCCGGACAGCGTGGCCGACGTCTGGATGCAGTGGTCGACGTGCGGCGGGCCGCGCCTCGCCTGCTCGCGCCGGCCGGCCCGGCCGCGTCCGCTCGAAGCGTCGCTGGACGAGGAGTCGGTCTTGACGGCGGCGACGGCGGCGCGCGACGGCCGGTAGGGAGCGGTTGGCACCGGCTCCAGCAGCGTCAGCCGCGCCGGCGGCCGCTCGCCGCCCGGCTCGCTCCGACTCGCTCTTCATCGGACAGTCGGAGCAACTGTCGCTGTGCGCCGTCAGCAGCTCGCTGGACGACTGGCCGCAGCTGGACGACGCCAGCTTGCTCTGCCGCTGCCGCACGAAAACCCGAAAAGCGAGGTGTTGGCCTCGTGCTGCGACTGGTTCACGTCGTACACGAGCAACCGAGCCGGATAACGGCGCGTTCATCAGCGCGTCCGGCAGGCTCTTGGACTGGGCGCGGGCCGGCGCGGAGCCCGGCGGCCGCGGCCGCTGCTCACACACCAGGTCGTCAGCGGGCCGGCCGAGTGGTGGAACGGCCTGGTGGCAGCGCGCCGCCACGTTGTCCACCGGGGCAGGGTCCCGTCTGAGGACGTCAGACCGTCAGAATTTACACGAAGAAGATGACCGTGAGCAGGCAACAACTGTGAGCAAAAGCCTCCGTGGCATTTGAAAGGGCATCGGGTCCGCTATGTGCGCAATTTCAAAAGATATTGGTCCTGCATGAGGAAATTTCACGAAAGGCTGCTTCTCCACCTTGGAACCCAACGATTCGCAGCCCGCACAGGTCCGGACAGTCCGGTTCCGATCTCAGGGTGTTGCGCGGTGAGGTCTAAATCCAGTATCGAAGCGACCTCGTTTGCGCAGCGCATTTTCTGTTCCACGGCAGGTGGGATCGCTAGACCATGACATCACACCCGCCAGCACAATAGCGTGTGCTACCTTATATCGCAAGGAGCCGATCCACCCTGGAGCGGAAGGTGATCTCAGGCTCGAGGGTACAGTTTCGTGTGTCGTCAAAACCATTCTTCTTTCGATACACGACATCAGGAGGGGCCACGGAACGCTTTTGCTGGTCACATCTACTGGGGCAATCCCGCCCAACCATCCCCCACATAAGTCAGACAAATAGAAACCGCTATCAAAACTTTATGCTCTACTTCTTTCCCATGTTTGCGAGCCTGCCAGGTGTCTTCTGTGTCTTAATTGAAAAACTGTCCCGAGAATGCAAGAGCCATGGTCCGTGCTGCACCTGTTCTGGCAGCCTAATTCCGTGGTAATGATCGCGTCATGTCTTGTTCTGACGCCGCCGATAATAAATACGAGCTCTACGCGCCCGTGGCGGTCTTCGTCGAGAACAGACATCTGCTGAGATGAAAGGGCCGTTTGCGGACGACTGGACAATCATATTGATGTTCTCGTTACATGAGGGCCATCGCTATATCGCATGATTATCGCTATACCCTGATGTATGGTTCTTGGGAGCTATTTGGCATGAAGGAAATTGCATGCAAACCACATGAGAAACGTTAGTAGAGCATTGGCACCACACATGATGTTTCTGGGTTCATCAACTCCTATCGTTGTTCGCATTCACATTAACATATCCGCTGAAAAGATGGATGTTAACGATTCCCCCTATCTCCCACGACATGCATACACGGGCCCGGTCTAGCGCGGCTGCTTCCAGATGGTTAGACTTCGCGTTACTGGAGCTGCTTAGGGAGTGACGGAAATTTATGTCTGCCATTAGGCACCATATGTTAATCAGCGCAAGGTGGGGTTTCCTTCTCAGTGTCTCATTAAATTAGGGATAATGCCCAACAGGTGCGCGCTGCTAAATGCCAGAAAATGGCGTATCACCATGACTTTGCTGCTCTTGGTCTCAACTTCTGGGCGGTTAAAGTTTGCCTCCGTGTTTAGGTAGCCGTCTGAATCAGGCATGTGGGTTTCATCTCTGAAAGCAATCGTACTTGAGCGAACTTCTGCCTTTTCAAGTGAATGGTGACATGCATAGTCAAAGTTGACTGCGTTTAGCAGCTTCTGTTGGTGTAGTCGCTAACTAAATTCTATTCGTGAAATTACCATGACTTTAATACTAAACTATTGAAAATAGACCCCGGCGGAGGGCTGGCCGCACCAGCTTGATATGATAATCTCCATCCATACATATCTATTATCTATCATCATACGTATATATTTTCTATAATCATACCTATATATTATCTATAATCATACATATATATTATCTATTATCATACATATATATAATCTATTATCATACATATCTATTATCCATTACCCCATTCAGTACTATATTGAATGGGTGATGTGACGGCAGCTGGGGGTCATCTTAAGTCATGTAAAGGCACCTCATGACCATTCATGTCCCTGGCTTTGGCAGACTCTGAACTTAGAGTGTGCGCCCATGATCATAAGCGTAGGAACGGAGGTGGGTGGGGGTGGCGGAACCCCAACTTCGCAAGGATGCTGAACATTGCAGGAAATGTTGCACATTTGAAGTTCCTGAAGCAAGCAATATGGGGAAATAAACTTAGTTGTTGCTATCGGTGCACTTTTAACTGGAGAAGATTGTTCTAGACAGCACAAGTTATCGGTTTAATAAATATACTCCTGAATACGTCATTGTCTGATTGTTTCATGGAACGCTTGTATGACGTCGAGGTACTGCCAAACTACCCGTGCAGAATTGAAGCTCCTTGTAGCACTTCACAGTTGTCGAGAGATGGCAGCAAGGGATGAAAGTGTGTGCTAAGCCAAAACTTGCTATGTGCTTGTTTTTGGCACTTTCTCATGGTGTTCTTGCATCTTGAGTGTGAGTTGAAGATGCTTACTTGTATTCAAGTACTCGATTAAGGAGCAGTTCTTCCGTTATTCGACCGCAAGTCTTATTTACTTAATAACCGGCAGAGCAGAAACTACGTTCAATTTCTTATATCATGTAGCACAAAACGTGTTTGACTGAAGTTTGACTGATGACTGAAGTTTGACTGAAGTTCGCACAGCGTGCCCAACATTGTTCGAGAGCCAATTGACGTTGCCTTTGTTTGGAAATCGCCCTCACGGACGCCAGATCCGAACGGATGAACGGATATTCTCCTTGGCCTTTAACGTCGCCTGGCCTGTGTGGTGGCAGAATTTGGATGACGTCACTATAGCGCCACGCATGCCCGAATGGCCTTGAAATAGTATGCACGAAACGGTCTGCACGTCTTCGCGGGCGTGTAGCGCACAAACTAGAGGGTGACAAACTTCGTGTCTTAGGAATGGTATGGTTGTGACTGCACAGAATGATCTTTAAATTGACTATTTCGGCTTCAAATCTCATACAGATGTGGAACTCTCTCTTTGAATCCATGTAGGGCGACGAGGGAAGGAAGCTATGTAAACAATGGTTTGGCCCCTCGATGTAATCTAGGTGCGTTGAATAATGCCTTCCAACATAGCAGTGTTTTTCGGCGTTGACCTGGCATGAATAACCCAAGCGTCACTGTTGACACATTCCGGCCATTTTACATAAGTTGCTGAGTGCGTTTGCGGGGAGCATTATGCATATACGTAATAGGGCACTAATAGCTTTATTCCTCGTATAACAACCAGAAGAATGCAGAGTTAGAGGGACTCTCTCAGTTCTGCTGGTTATTCTACTAGAAATAAGGCCAGTACTACTGTCTTATTTTCCAGCCATTCTAATTTAGCACATTTACCATTCACAAAAGGGTTCACATAATTAGCACAAAAATTAACATACCCACCTGCCCTCTCCCTACGAACCACGCCCCCAAGGTGCAAAAGTTTCTGTACGATGCCAATAAAGCCGATTTATATATACTGTGATCGAGTCCTGGTGCATGCACTCTTCCTGTAGAACTGTCCACTGATGTCGGCGTCCAAACACGGTTTCCTATCTAAAGGTCATGTGTAAAGCTGCAAAAATATACGAGATCATGTTTCACGGGACCACGGTGTTGTGTCGTCAAAGTCGCTAGCCGAGTGCCGTCCGGACACATACCCGCTGGGCGTTTCAGGACGTTGACCACGTACTTTTGACGCACCAGCTGTGTGCCCTACATGGTATGTCACATCTGTTCAGGTCCAGTATTTTAATGCCTGATCCAGTCTGGTCTGGTCTGTTAGTGCGTGGCCTCGTCTCATCTGCCCTGCCCTGCCCTGTCCTGCCTTGCCCTCCCCTGCCTTGTCACGCCCTGTCCCGCCCTGCCCTGCCTGCCCTGTCCTGCCCTGTCCTGTCCTGTCCTGCCCTGTCCTATCCTGTCCTGTCCTGTCCTGTCCTGTCCTGTCCTGTCCTGCTGTGCGCTGCTCTGCCCTGTCCCGCCCTGGCCTCGTCTTATCGCTCGCCTTTTCTCGTCTCGCTCGACTCACTGGGGTCGTTGCTGCTGCTCGTCATGCTGGCCTCGAAGGCGATGGTGTAGTTGTTCATGTTGGTGCGGCACGAGCGGGCTATGTTCTCCGCCTCGTACGAAGAGCAGTCCAGCGAATCCATCGAGATCGTGTTGAACACCGCCTGCTCCTTGGTGGACGAGAAGAGCGCCGACGACTGCTCCTTCTCCTCCTGGAATGAGGCCGCGCCGGTATCAGTTGAGCCGCTGCTCTTTTGGGGCTGATGCTCACCAGCAGCGTGCAGCCAGATGGTGATTACACTATTTAGCCTGCGGCGGTTATTAGAACAGACCTGGAATTTTGATCCACCGGAGACCGCTTAAGCGGCGTCGTAAGCTTCCCGGTTTTGATGAAGGGATATGCCGCGCACCAATCTCCAAAACCCATTTTATGATCGATGGATGTTTTGACGGAGCTACTTTGTCCTTCACTGTGTCAATGTTGTGAGTAAAAGCACAAAAGAACGGATGCATGAGATCCACAAACTTTAGCCTTTTTAATTAGTCGCTCCAATCTTAAAATGGCCGATGCACGTAACGCGTAACAGAATCCGAGCACGAAATGGACGGTTTGACTCTTCCTGGCACAAGTCGCTAGACTGTTCCGCAGTGCACCACGGTCATGCGGTGCAGCGTGCGACGCTTGGCGCCTTTCAGCCCGCGCTTGGCCTGAGAGCCGAGGGACGTTCAGATACGGCGGGCCGAGGGATGCCGTTCCATGACAGGCTGCATTGCCCCGACATCCCAGTGCCAGCATTGCCCCGCACGGGCCGCATTAGGTGCCGAGAGCACACACACCCTAAAACAAGGAATTTTATCGTTCTTCAGGAAAATGGAAATACGGCGAAGAAGTGGGGGTAAATGGCTGGAGCTATTCGTAGTACAGACAAAAAAAAAAACAGGGTTGGGGCGAGGGGCGGGCGCAGCCCTTTCTTTTTTATAAGCTTTTCGCCGATTGAAGTATTCTTCGCCTTTATATTCGTCCATTTACCTTTTGGATTTCTCCTCCGGCCAGGTGCCTCCGGGTTTGGAAGGCACTACCGCACGGCGACCAAGGCCGTGGGTTCCAGCAAGGAATATTTCGTGTCATGACATAGCTATTTTGGCTCCCATAAAACTCGAAGGTGTACACCAGAGCACCCAGTAGACTTTCCCACCGAACCGAGACATCGCATGGAATACCAAACAGGCTATTTCTTGGTGAGCGAGCTCCACACAGTCGTTTAACTTGGCGGCTCGGCGGACATGCTGGAGGCCCAGCCACACCCCACACCACGTCTCCCGGCCCGTACCTCATACAGTTCGCCGCCGTAGCCGGAGATCTCGAGGATGCGGTTGATGTCGCCGCGGTAGAACTCTTCCATGTCTACCTCGGCCAGCGTGGCGTCCACATGGTAGGAGAGCTCGCTGTAGAGCTGGGCGTCAGCCAGCGGCGCCGGCCCGCCCTTCAGATCGGGGCTGTACGCCTGCGGAGCGCGAGCCGGCCCGCAGCCGTAGCTGAAACACAGGCACGCGCCGCTGATGGTGGCGTTCCGAGCGGGCCCCGCGCTGGGAGCCGGTCATGGCCGCCGTGAATCGTCAGCGTCGGCGGCTGCGAGGCGAGGCTGCATATGCCGGGCCGGGGAGCGGTGTCGTAGCTGCGGCGCTATCGCGGCGCTGCTGTGAATAAAGAGCATCTTTTTATTACGCATTCCGGGATAGGACTCGAGGCGATGTGTTAGCCGCAATGGCTTTGACATTCACTTAACGATATTGAAGCCTTGCATATGCATTCCGGCGTGCCTATAAACGATCTCGTTCCTCCTCGCAGAGGATAGCGTATTAAGCTCCCGCCCCCACCCCACCCTCACCCCCACCTAGTGTCCTGGCCTGTGACGCGCGACCCCAGATCGCGCACGGCGTCGCGTGCGCAGCTCGGGGCAATCGCCCGAGGGCCTGGATGCGACGGGTGGGACCACCCTGCAGAAACGGCCGGCTAAGCTCGAGCGTGACACATCTGCGAGTGAGATGGCACCGTACGGCAGAAATTAGGCCGTTTCATGCATGTGCCGAAGCGAATCAAGTCCAAATCATGACCGCATAAATCTCCCGGGCAGTGAATGATCAGCATTTGGTGACGAGGTCGCGCCTTCTGGCCGGCAGATTATGCCTGTCAGTATTGGTGGCCGTTGGTAGTCCCGTTATGAGACCATTAGCTCTGAGATGAAATGTGATGATGCGCTTCTGGTTCGTGGGCCTGACCCGTTCAGTGACTGAGTGTGCTGACGCAGTCTCTTTGTTAAAGTCGTGCTGGTCAAAGTTCATCCTTTCCCCGGCGAAATGCTTTAGATACAGGTTGTCCTCGTATATAATCACGTTCCAAATGTTGATGGAAGTAGTTGAACATCTGCCACATAGTTCAGCTGTAGACACTGAGCCGGAGAGGAAAGTGATGTCTGGCCAGGCATAGGCGATTCAAGCTCTGCCTTAATAACTGGCCTGGCTCACAACTTTCCTCAGCTCACGGCGCGGACACTGCGACGCTTCCTCCACCACCTCAAAGAAAGTGCACCCTTCCCCACGCCTGCCGGCCGCCGATCACCGCGAGCAGAACCAGTTGGACGCTCCCGAGCTCGACTGATTTAGCTGATAAGCACCAGCTGACCGGACGGTCCGTGGCGCCACACCGGCGCGTGCGTGGCCGCGCGCGAGCGTGGGCCGCGCGCAATTACGACTCGCGCCAAATTACCGCCGATCCGGCGCGGGCAATCTGGCCGCACTGCGATTGGTGGCCGATTTGGCGCCACTTTGTCTCAATGGGGCGGCCATTATGCTGGCTCAGCAGCGCCGCGAGACGCGCAATCGGACGCAATCGGACACAATCAGACACAATCGGGCACAATCCGGTTACGTGGTCCAACTCTGAGGTGCGGCGCGCTCCGAGACCGTCACAACAACCCATCAACGGGGCGCGCGCAGCGAGACCGCCCGGCGGCCTCTCGATCATGCCGGTGGAGGGTGACGTCACGACCAGAGGTCAGCTACGACTACCAAAAGTGTGGCTTGCGACATTTTTGAATCGCGCCGTGTAAGCCAGGGAGCGCACGAGAGGCCAGTTGTGTTCAGAGGTGGTCTTGAAGTCGGTAATGAGGAGATATAGTCGGTAAATCCAGCCAACAAGTCAATCATCCGTTCACCCGCACTGCACACATCCAAACCGCTTAAATTTCTTCATTCGTTTTTGGGACCGGGCTAGGGTAAACTGGGCAGAAAGTTTGAGGTGTAATTTGCGGGCATAGCCGGTGGCAGGAGAATGCGTAACTTTCTACTGAAGTGAGAATGCGCTGTTCTGTGCAGCTGTCTCAAATGCGCTGTCTCACAGCGCAGACGAGACCTTTCCCTGACGACATGCCTAGTGAAAAGTCTTGCGGAAGGAAAGACTGCCTTGCAATAGAAATAGCTAGCTATTATTCTTCCAGTGGCCCGCTATCTATGCCTACGCTGGTATCTGTTGTGGTTTTTCGGTGCGCACCTGCAGAATTGGCTGATCATCGACCAAAGTATTCGGTGCATCCACGAAATGTGCCCACCCAGAACCGCCTGTGGTCTGGGACCGCGAGACCGGCCTTGTGCGGAGCCTTTCGTAACAGTGTATTCAAAAGCCCCGCTATCGCAGGACCTTCCTGATGTTTACAGCCGCGCAGAGCCCGCGTTCGCCCACAGTGCGTGCCTGCGCGGTCCACTCGCCGCCAGAGCGCGCCTGCGTGGTCCACACTCACCCCCAGAGCGAGCCTGTGCGGTCCACACTCACCCGCTGAGCGCGCCTGCGCGGCCACACTCACCCGCAGAGCGTGCCTGCCGTGGTCCACTCACCCGCAGAGCGTGTCTGCGTGGTCCACACTCACCCGCAGAGCGCGCCTGCGTGGTCCACTCACCCGCAGAGCGCGTCTGCGTGCGCCTGCGTGGTCTACTCACCCGCAGAGCGCGCCTGCGTGGTCCACTCACCCGCAGCGCGCGCCTGTGCGGTCCACTCACCCGCAGAGCGCGCCTGTGCGGTCCACTCACCCGCAGTGCGCGCCTGCGTGGTCCACACTCACCGCAGAGCGCGCCTGCGCGGCCCACACTCACCCGCAGAGCGTGCCTGCGTGGTCCACTCACCCGCAGAGCGTGTCTGCGTGGTCCACACTCACCTGCAGAGCGTGCCTGCGTGGTCTACTCACCCGCAGAGCGTGTCTGCGTGCGCCTGCGTGGTCTACTCACCCGCAGAGCGTGTCTGCGTGCGCCTGCGTGGTCTACTCATCCCCAGAGCGCGCCTGTGCGGTCCACTCACCCACAGAGCGCGCCTGTGCGGTCCACTCACCCGCAGAGCGCGCCTGCGTGGTCCACTCACCCGCAGAGCGCGTCTGCGTGCGCCTGCGTGGTCTACTCATCCCCAGAGCGCGCCTGTGCGGTCCACTCACCCACAGAGCGCGCCTGTGCGGTCCAATCACCCGCAGAGCGCACCTGCGTGGTCCACACTCACCGCAGAGCGCGCCTGTGCGGTCCACTCACCCGCAGAGCGCGCCTACGCGGTCCACTCACCCGCAGAGCCACTCGTAGTCTACATCGGCGAGGAAGTCACGCTCGTTGATGGAACGTTCACTGCAGCTGCTTTCACCCGGACACCAGCTGTCCAGGTTCCGGTGCCGGCTGCCGCTGCGGCTGTGTGCAGCTTCGGTCATCCCCCTGTAACGGCCGGACCGGGTCAGGTCAGGTCAGGTCCGGTCCGGTCATGGCATCCGGCGCAGCCGCTAAGCGGGCCCCTCGGCTGTGCGGTCTCTGGGTGGACCCACGTGATGGCGAGGAGTCGAAGACGGAATGGAACGCTGTGCCATAAGGCAAGCAACGTTGCTTGGTGCCCCGGAACGTTTTTGGCAATCGGTAGAGAAAGGACACCGGACAGACGTCATGCAAAGCCAGGACAATAGCATTTAAGAACACCTAGTCCATCGCATTGAATTTATGTAAGTATAGTGAAACAGCAATGAAAATAGTGTTTTATCGGAATAAATATACATCGCCATCCAATACATTTCACTGCATCTTGCCAACTCTCGTGGAGGGCCGGCATCTCGTACACGTGCGACAATTCAAGATAAAGACTTCTTTGGCAGTTACAGTACAAGGAAGACGTTGTTGGGTTTCGGTCAGCAGTGAGCTATCGACAGACGAACATATCCAGATTCTAGCTGACGCTTCTCAGAGATAAAAGGTGGGGAGACGGGCTCATCGACGTGCTCCCAGAACTCAAGAACTAACGAGCTCGCATAAGACCTCGCCATCTCCTAGCTAGGAGGAGAGGGTCTGGTTCTACAAAATGGTCGCTAGGCGGCAGCACTCGAGCGCCGCCGATACGCTTCGGCGGTGAATCGTTTCCGAACACAAGCATCTAACGACATCGCACGCGACACGTGGGTGATAATTGCATGAGGAAGATGACTTGACTTTCGGATTTAACTTTGCCAGTTACTAGCTGATTTCCATGATTGGTCACCGGCGTGGGCGGCGGCTTTTGGCCATTCAGCGCTTCGTCGGCGCTTCGTTTGCGATGAGCGAATGGGTGGTGATTGGTTTCGCCGTTTCAACTTTAACTCCGACAGACCTAATGCACTTCACAGATGAAAAGAGTTGGCTGTTCAGGCAGTCCGTCTGCGATGACCTTTTGATTCTATCTCGAACATATTCAGGGAACGGTTGCTGAATTCATTGGAGGGCATGGTGATTTGGGACTTGGAGAAGCGCGTAAGCGAAGTTCAAGGTGGGCACCGGCTATTCCTGCAGAAGCGTAACCAAAATTTGGCTCAGGAGGGGCCAAACCAGGTCATAGGAGCCCCTATCAGTCGTTGGGATCCCTCTTCTCCGGTCTTCCGTCTTCTACGTTCTCTGTTTTGGGACGCAGAATACGTTTTTTAGACTCTGGATCCTATTTTGATGTATCGCAGGAACTTCTTCTGACGTTTAAAAGCCCTGCAAGAGCGCATTAAATCACCGACAAGTGCTGGGAATTTCTGCCCCGGAAACCCACCACGTTCAATAGGGCCTTTAAGTGCGGGGAAGATTGAGTGGGGTGGGGAAAGCCATGGGCTACAAAGTTTTCATTGGCTGCTTTGCGGTATTATCGCCATCTAACGCAAATTGTGGCCACAACCGAGGTGTAAATGGTTTAAATGCACTTAAGAAATGGTCCGTCCTGGGACACACCAGAATGCAAGTTCATTGTATGAAATGGGTTTCGTATCTCATGCATGAAGTGTTGTCCTGAGCTATATACCTTCATGGACAAGGGAACCGAAACAAAAAGAAACACATAATGATGCGTGTCTATTATATATCAGTGTTTTCCTCCCATCGTTTTGTGACATATGCATACATAAAGTTTCATGCAATGGACAAATCCAGCAGTACGCCCACGTGCGAGCAATGTACGATCGTGTATGCATTTACGCTCACGTGCGAACAATGTACGTTCGTGTATGCATTTATGCCCACGTGCGAACATTAATAATTGTACTTGAATTTGAGGCCAAGACTAATGGAGTCACAGGCGACATACGAGCAGTGTCTGATTAAGCGGAGAACCGAGTGTCTCCGTCTTCCGCACAGCCTATAGGCCGAAATGGCAAGAATGGCAGCGCCCTGTTCGACCCGGAAGGAACAGGTTGGCTGCCAGCTTGGCAGAGATGTTTCGTGCCAGATGGGTAACCTACACTGCTTTCCCCGCTGATTTCGCTATTTATGTCCACCATGCTCACAAGCACGGACGAGGGAATTGGTTTCTCCCGTTCCCTAATTTTCAGAACCATTTCATATCTTCCGCACATCCTTAGCATAATCAAAGAGAAGCAAATGTTCCAGAGAGTATTATATACATATCTATTATATTTATGATCGATTAGCTTGCTTGCATTTAGCGCGTCTGACTCAAAACATGAATTGATTCAGCTACCTGAACCATACCAGCCGGATCAGTACCGTCCCAAAACGCCTATGGGCGTTTACGGGCGTCGTCAGCCAGCACATACGCTCAGGTTCTGTTTTATGCCGTAAGGCTTCGATTCGCAGCCGGTCCACGCTGTTGCGCTGTAAGCGGCTCGAACTCAGTCCACCCTGTACTGGTCGGTGCCTTAGCTCGCACGCGTCACGGGATGTGAACAGGGGCTCGCCCTGTGGTCATGGGGCGCTCGGGGCCATGTGCGTGGTATGCAGCCCAGCACGAGGTGATGTATAAAATGGCACTGCCTACTTAACAGTGAAAAGCTGCACTTAAGTTTGAAAACATCGTGTGGTATTGGTGACTTGTTCTTATACGGTGCATCTTCTCAGCTTTGTGGTGTCAGATAAACTGCCAGCAAATGGCTGGAGGTTTCGTGACCGAACGCTGCTCGATGTCAATACGTTCTACTGTCGAGATAAAATACAGTGCAAAGTGTTCTGTCAGGAACATATGATGGAAGTTGTTGTGGGTCAGCGAGCATAAGCCTCCTCGTCACTACCACACCGTTCAGATACGGTTCATCAGAAACCCGCTTCCCATGCGATTTTCCCGAGAAGTTGAGGCTACAGCGATCACAATGCAATACAGGTGTTTACAGTTGCAAACACATGTAAAATAACAGAAGCCAAGTCGGGTGGTGATATCCATTAACGCACTGAACAGCAATGCATTCCAAACTCTCAAATGACACTCTGTATCCGCCACACGGGTATAATATGATTGCAATGGATGCCCTTTCGAGACAAAACGACACGTCTTGGCTATTCGGGTTTGAATCTAGTTGAAAGCGCTAACATGAGCAGGTGATTTTCTCTTATTTCTTTGCATTCTTTTGCATTTGCTTTTCATACCGGCTATATTTTCCACCTGCTTGCGTGAAGAAGGGTTGGTATTCTTGAAATAAACGTGCTCCGGAATGGCCAACTTTGAAAAAGTCCGATGTATTTGATAGCCAGTGACAATTATCTAACTATAATTCAAGACAGACCCTGAGTTACGGCATTGCTTTATAATTTTCAATACTTAAGTTCAACGCAGTTGGGAGGCTCGAGTCAACTATTCTAGAGGACAATCATAGATTACTCCAGTACATTGATTCATAATGAATCGAAAGCACTTCGTTGAAGTTCAGCGCTGTGTTAGTGTGTGCTAAAACGCTTTCTGTAATGTCGAGTAAGGGTTTTGCAATCATCGGAAACGTAATTTGGCCATAGAATGGTTTGCAATGCGTCCAAGTTGGGCGAGGAATTGACAACTTCCTTATTGATATTTCATTTACTTTGCGTTTTTCTGCTCAAGCTACAAATTTACACGGCATTAACTAGTGCTGTGCATCGAAGTCTAAAGTTGTTATAATCACAATAATACAATAATCATCATTTATTTTTTCATCACAGCTGAGAGCTAGAATAATTAGTAGTGTGTGAAATTTGAATGCACGCTGAACGTTCAAGATGTTTTTGCAATACGTCATCAAACAAAACCTGACAAATTATTTTTCTGGCATTGCCTCAAAAACAAGGAAATCCATGCAAGTCGACCTTTCTTCTCTTACTAGAACTACAAGTTGACAAATACAAGTAAGCGTGCTGTTATTATGCGTACTTAACCATTAACAGCCTGCCTTGATTACTTCGGCCAAAAAATAGGGGGGGGGGACCAAATTTGAGTGGAACGCTGCAGTTTTTCCAACCAGATTGCAACGTCGGTTTTCGCTTTATTGCTGCAGTTGCACATCAACACGGTTTGATGTCCTCGGCAAGAAACCGCTTTGAATCGTGTGCTGGGATGGACTTCTCGCCCCAGTTAATGCATGCTGGTTTTTATCTGTCTCCTGTCTTCCTGCTTTTTCCCCGATTCCCTGCACTCGTCTGAAAGGGAACGAGCAAGCCAATGCGAGTTAGCCACGCAAAATGTTGCGACATATTCTCTCGATGTATTGCGACCGAGGCCGCGGAGCTGGTGGGTCTTGCTTGAGTTACGAGAATAATTTCGACTTGAGCGACCCAGTCCTGGCCCGCCCGGCCTCCAGACATTTTCTGAAAACTAATATCTTTGCAACCGCTGGCTGCAGGCTCACCGTGTTTTTAGCAGAAAAAGGCTTAGTTATGTAAACAGTTGTGCTGTATGAATTGCCACATATTTACATGTAAGCGTTCTGACAAGGCAAGTTATTTACGTCACGTTGAAAAATTGCTATCATTTGCACCTCCCCATTTGATTAATAAGGAGCTGTTTTCCAAATGAAAGCCGAAAAACAAAAGTTGAACCGGTCTTAGATCTTTATGACTCTGTCGCAGCGACATGGGACGTTCTGACCGGGGAGACAACGGACAATTGCATGAGCAGGAGTATGACCCGATGAATGCAGACGTCACGTGTTCTCCTGCGCAAGCCGTGAGTACACCCGGTTTGAATGTTGTTTTTTTAAGGAATGTTGGATCCCAGCAGCTAGAGTAGATGAAAGCGTGAAGCAAACTGCAACGCGTAGGCAAATGTACCGGTTACAACCTGCTGCAGGCCTTAAAAACCGTCCGGCACATAGCGCCACCGGCGGTGGTGGCAAAGGTCGGGCATTTGGGTGCCAACGAGACCGACATGGTCTCATGGTATTGCAAACGTGCCGTGGGTTACACTGGCTGTTGCCCCTCCCCTTGCTCAGGATCGACCAATCAGTATCGAGCCGGATGGTGGTCAACCCAGCGCCTTGGCAATGCACATCGGGCGGGCGGGTCAGGCTGTGAGGATTCGGGGTCGAAGGGCAACGTATTAGCAGCAAAGAAAGTGCGGTGCAAGCTGGGACGGCGGAGTAGACAGGTTTGATAGCATGAATTAGTGTTGGCCTTTGTGGAACCCAAGTGAACAAATTTTGTCATGCTGTTCTCCAGCGAGCGACTGAAAAGTGGTCAACGCCACCTTTTCCAAAACCGATCTCAAATGCCGGACGCCGTGACCTTAACCGAGAAAGATTTAGTTTTGAAACCACGCAGGCATATGGGCCTGTTCATTGCGACCGATATCCACTCAAAATAATTTGTGTTTTTGATATCCAGGTCACCACTGAAAAAATCGTACGTCATTGCAAAGTGATTGGTGTCACGACGGAAATAAACAGATTTGGCCGGACTCACGGCCGCTCATGTTTTAAACAAATTAGTTGTTTTTAGTACGTGAATGCTAGATCAGTGAACTTTCTTCCTGGTGCCTACCAAATTATCATGAAATGTGGACATTTCAACACACTGATGAAAGATGTCGGCACCAGTTGCCCTAGGTGGCTGGTTTTAATAGCTTGGCAGGGTACAGTAGAGTACAGGACATAGCATCAACGACAGCTTTCATATCTGATATTGTCTTGTTTTTTCCTACGCCGTGTATGGCATCTTATTGGTATAGAGAACTGAGTTTATTATAGCCGGTAAGTTTTCAGACGGGAGTATGGAAAAAATGTTCTAGATATCTTTCGTTTTGTTAAGGTAATAATTTTCCCTAGTTTTGACCCTAATCCGGGCCCAGCAGGATGCGTGAGCCACCTGGTATTACTTCCACTACGGCAGCGTTTAAGTCAATAGCTTTATGGCCAAAATCAAAGCGCAAGTGGTCAATATTTCAGTCCTCGAGAGCTTACTGGCCTTCCGGGTTTAGTTTTCCGGCCGCCAGCTGTGTGTTGTGCTGACGTCACAGCTTGCGTGGTCTCAGCCGCTCTGATCGGCTGCACACGTTGCGCGAACTCCAAAATATGTCCGACAGAAACATCCGCGAGGCAGACATTTAGGAGCAGTTCTGATGGCCGATGCTGAGATACACCGCGACCATCACTAGGGCCTCGTTATAGAAAAAGGAGAGATCGAGCAACCATGCGCGTCTGCCGACTACCGCTGCTGTCTGCAGCTTATCGGAACAACACACGGCGCTGACAGCGACGGGAAGTTCGCTTACTGAAGTGCTCGCAATACATGTGTCCGAGTGGCCAGTGCACGACTGATGTGTAAGCAAGCACAGCGTTTTGATGCGTCTGTTTCTGTACGTTAGCAGCGAACCTGAGTGCGATAACACCATGCATGAATGCAGCGACATTGATCCGTGTGAGCGCGTTACATGTTTAGCTTCAGTCATGAGCTCGAGTCGAGGCACTCGAGCGAACTTCTCAACACTTCTGAAGTGAGGGGAGTGGGGGGGGGGGGGGGGGGTGGGGGGGGGGGGGGCGCTGTAGACGGAGGGCCGCTCCGCACTAAAGCCGACGATGGATGACATCTGCGCATGCGTGCGCCGCGTGCCTGGGCTCAGCCGGCGGGCATGAGTGGCCACGGGGTTGTTTTGGGCGGCCAATCGCTGATCGATTGCATAGACCTCCGACCTGAGGTCAGAACAGAGCCTCAAGCGAAGACTGAGAGCGCGGCGTGATACGGCTCGGTTCGATCTCAGCATTGCATCAGCCGTTCTGAACTCAGTTGCTGTGGACACGTGTTATGTGCGAACATTTAAAACGCGAATGACGTCATTTACAAGTCGGTCATTTCTAAACTTATGCTGCGATGAATTTCAAGACACGATTCCGGTGTGATACCATTTCAGCGACGTTGTGATGGAATGAATATCTCATGATTTTTGGTCGATTTCAGGTGCTCAGCTGTGTTCAACTTTTGACGGGCAAGGACGTGAAACTTTTACCCGTGTATTGAAGTGTTGTGTACGTCACGTATTCGCACAACTAGCGCACCCTTGCATCAAGTGGCTAATCAAAATGCTATCCTCTCGTTATCGTTTGAAAAGCTCCCAGCACACATAATAAGTGTCGCCGTTCGTATCTCGAGTGCAGAGCATGATACAGGACCAATGATCACGCCAGAAATTAAACGTGTCTCCGTAAAAAGGAGTTGTGCACCCGTGTTTAAAATGTACACATACTCTCATAAATGGAGATTATAATCCACGGAATCCGTCATTTTCTTTTAGAGCTTTCATGTGCCGATGCATGACAAACGCTCGGGAAAGAAGTGTCAGGCCGGTAACAGCCGCCACCTCCGGCCCAGCCTAGGGTTAGCTTGGCAGCTTGGGAGCAATTTAACAACAGCCCCATGTCGTTGTAACCAAAACGGATTTAAGAGGCATGCCCCACGTAAAAGCCATTCGCCCGCTTCTTCTCTCGCAAAACAGGCACTATAGTCCGTTTCCTGGTATGGTTTAGTTCCCCCGCCTCTGCCGCTCCACTCAGTCGACGTTTGCGCGCTGCAGGCATAGGCTGTGCCGCATTGCACCGCTGTGCGGCGGGCCAGTCTCGACGCTGCGTCGCGCAGCGCGGCTGAGCAGCTCAGCACAGCGCAAGCCCGCCTGCAGTGTATCAGAGGGCTAGACATGTTGTCTACTCCTAAGATTCATTTTAGCTCACATTCTTTATGACAGCTTAAAGGTATCTCGTGCTGTTGATTGGCAGACATAACCGGAGCTGACGTTCTTTATGTTCATCCAACGGTATTTATGACATCGCGTTCGGAAAATCAGTCGGACTTTCGTCCTCGTCTGGTGTCTTAGCATGCATACGACGTTTCCGAAGGTTCTCAGGTCACCAGAACACCTAACGGTGGCCGGAGAGTGAACTGACCGAGGCGTTGTGTATGTACTAACGCACTGGTCGACGACGATAGTCCGGAAAATTATTCCACCCGTGATACAAATACCCCGCCTTAATTTCTTCACAAAAGTATAGACATGGAAAGATAGGCCGCCATTATTAAGCTTGAGGGCGTAATCGGTATCACTGTAAATAAAAGGCCGCTCTCCGACCTTGAATGAATCACGGCATTTGCTTAACATAATGGGCTCAAACATCCCGCCATGCAAAAAGTCGATCCTACCAGCGTTTGACAAAAGAAATCCCATGCAGAAGAAGTCGGACAAGGGCGCGCTGTAGATGGCCCCTCCCCAAACACCCACACAACGTCTCCATTATGCACGATTCGTCTGGTGAACACTGGAACACTCTAGAACACCAAGCGAGCGAGCACTACGCAAACCCAAAACCACGTACCTCACTGCTTGGCACCACAAAGGAGCCGCACGACCCCCAAAACCCCTAGCAGACGCCTCCCAGACCCCAGCAGCCCTCGTTCTGATCGGGCCGACCGAGCATCCGTCGCGAGCGGCGCCCGCTGAACAACACAACGCGGAAGACGCAGAACGCGGGGTGGACGCGGCCGCCGAGGCAGACGCTGGCCCGCGCGAGCTACTCACCGCGAACGGAGGCAGCCGCGCCTCGCGGGGCGGCGGGTCGGCAGCTACGGCTCAGTCTCGAGGTCAGCGCGGCCGGCTGGGGTCATGTCAGCGATGGCCGCCGCCATGCAGTCGTCGCCGCGTAGCCCGTCGATCGATGCGGGGCGCGGCGGGCCAGGTGGCGCTGGTGTCGCGCCGGGGCGGCCGGCCGCCATTGTGCCGGCGGGAGCGCCGGGTGGCCGCTGACTTACTGCGCGGGCGGGGGATGCCGTGGGTGGCGCTGGGCGCGCTGAGCCCGCCGCGGGGCGCAGGTGGCGTGTGCGTCACCTCTCGGTGTGAGGAGGCGGCGCTGGTGTCCTGGGAGGGCTTGTAAGAACGTATCGGATAGCCAGAAATGACGACGCTGAACGGAGACGGCCGCGGAATGGACTGCAGCAAAGTTCAGCTATGTTCAAGTTCGGCACCGCTGCACCGCTTTATATTTCAGGTTTTCGGTACTTCGGAGGCGTCTAAGTACAGTGATGTGGATGCTTCCAACGAAATACTTGAAGGTGAAGTTGGTCTAGGGCAGACGCGGAGTGAGGTAGCTGCAGATGGACGAAAAGCGGAACCTTTACCCGAAAAGCTCAGTTGGTAAAACTGGACTTTTCCAAGGCTTAGACCGGCTCCAGATTCTTTTTCACTTAAGATGAGTTGAGGTACGGGTTTTAAGTCCGGCAAGGCGGTCGGGGGCTTCATTCCCTCGCCCCACCCCACCACAACTCTTAACTGTACAGGAAATCGCATTATTGCAGTGCTTCATGCATAGCTAGCATCGCAGTCAGGCGGGGAGTTACCTCGAGGCCGCACGCGACCTGCAGCCACCATCGATCTGCCAGCCATCACGGTAGCGTGAGCGGCCAGCGTTCCGCTCAGTCTGGCATGCCGATAAACTCGGCCGCTACATAACCACATGCCAGCGTGGGAACTCTGCATGCTCACAATCGCTGCTCAATTACACCTGTGTCAATCTGGGGTGCGGTGGGTGCGTGGCCTCATGGAGGCGTTAAAAAGGGAATAGAAACCCGATGTGGTGGGGACAGTTTGCGGAACGCTTAACGCCATTGTGTAGACCTGCTTCTCGACATCGTATACTGGCGGTTAGAAACTTACCATTTGATGTTACAGCATCGTTTTCAGGGAAGGGTCGGTGAGAGCGTCACTGTAGACTGGCGCTCGATCACAGACGACATTATACGACCCATGTCGTAATGACCTTTCCGACACATCTGTGCTTCGCTCTGTGTGGCAAATTCGCGCTTTCCACCCTATGGCTCCGTGTTAGTATGCTGGGTTCATTAGTTTATGCAAAGCTATCGGCACAATAGACCCTTAAAGGCTCGGAGTTTAGCACCCGCTGTTGCCCCCGCCTACCCGGAAGCACGCCCCATCAGGACACGTCGGTGTTTCGCCGGCTTGCAACCGCTGGGCAATCACGTGGAATGGTCGGATTGCGGTGGGATTTTCGCCCATTGTTCTTTCGCCGGCTGATTGTGTCATTTAGACCAGCTATTATCACTACGCACTCACCATTGCGCGTGGATTTGCTTGCAGGGTAAAAAACAAGCATTCTGCGTGACATGATTTGTCACACGGGATTCTGGAAGCTCCCAGAGAAAGTAATAGCGAATATCTTTTCTTCGCGTCTAATGCGGGATCAATGAATCTAAAGAATATATGACGCGGCACATGTCTAGCGGTCGCCAGCAGCCGCACCAAGTCGCCAGCAGCCCAGAACGTGTTTTCGATGTTTGCGCGTTCTCAACGGCGTTCTCGGGCCTGTTCCACCCCGTGTACAGCCAATATTTCGGACGGTTACTACGCTCCATTTACCATGTATACTTGTCAATAGGTGAAGAATGGAAAACGGGGAGACGAAAGAGCGCAACTTTTGTGTATTATAAATTGGATATCCCGCGTTTTTCATTTCCATTTTGTAGTCCTCTTAATATCTATCTGGTTACAGTACTTTCCTGAGAGTATTTCATTTCTTGAATTAACAAGGCAAGCAAGGCAACTTAAGGCATTGAACAGTCCCGTGAAAAAGCGCAGCATTCAACTGCAACAACAAAAAAATGAACGTGAAATAGGGCGACACTTAACGGTACATTTTGATTGATGGGTTTGCGTCAGACATCTCTCGTCTCACACATTTAATGATGATTCATTCATTGAAACGTGACACAAGCAAAACATGTCGGCCTTTTGGTTCTGATATGTGTTGCACTGCGGGCCTGGCTATTTATGAACACCTCGATCACAAGGAGTCTCATGAAACAAAAGCCGAGAACTTCAGAACGTGATCGGCGTTTTGTACCAGGCCTGCGTTGATGTGACGCGGGTCGGTAGCTTACCGTGAGCTGGTGTGACGCGGGTCGGTAGCCTACCGTGAGCTGGTGTGACGCGGGTCGGCAGCCTACCATGAGCTGGTGTGACGCGGGTCGGTAGCCTACCGTGAGCTGGTGTGAAGCGGGTTAACAGCCTACCGTGAGCTCGGTGTGAAGCGAGTCGGTAGCCTACCGTGAGCTGGGGTGACGCGGGTCGGTAGCCTACCGTGAGCTGGGGTGACGCGGGTCGGCAACCTACCATGAGCTGGTGTGAAGCGGGTCAACAGCCTACTGTGAGCTGGTGTGAAGCGGGTCAACAGCCTACCGTGGGCTGGTGTGAAGCGGGTCGGTAGCCTACCATGAGCTGGTATGACGCGGGTCGGTAGCCTACCGTGAGCTGGTGTGAAGCGGGTCAACAGCCTACCGTGAGCTGGTGTGAAGCGGGTCGGTAGCCTACCGTGAGCTGGGGTGACGCGGGTCGGCAGCCTACCGTGAGCTGGTGTGACGCGGGTCGGTAGCCTACCATGAGCTGGTGTGAAGCGGGTCGGTAGCCTACCGTGAGCTGGTGTGAAGCGGGTCGGTAGCCTACCGTGAGCTGGGGTGACGCGGATCGGTAGCCTACCGTGAGCTGGTGTGACGCGGGTCGGCAGCCTACCGTGAGCTGGTGTGACGTGGGTCGGTAGCCTACCGTGAGCTGGTGTGAAGTGGGTCGGTAGCCTAGCCTGGACGTGAGTTGTGTGCAGATCATCATGGTAACCCACCTGATACTGTATGTGTCGTAAGAGTCAAGCCTCCGGACAAAGCTTGGCGTGGTAACAGCCGGTAGCCTGTCCTTACATACACCAGAGATTTAGAACTGCTACTCTACCCCGGACATGTGCTTATGATCCGTTAACATGTCCGTTGAGAGTTCTGGTGGGTTAACGACCAGCAGTTTGTCTGGGGCTGGGACTGGCCACCAGCTAATGGAGGAGAGACACGAACTAAACATGCATTGTGTGAAAAGGGTCTCACTCCAATTTTTGTGAACTCACCGGTATATGGCGGAACTTAGTTTAGGTATACTATGCGTGCAGATGATTTGGAGATACCATAGCACTTTCGCTGTTGAGTGATGATGAAAATGATGACGAGATGATGAATGAAGAATCATGACAAAAGTACGCGAATTGTTGGCGTAACTAGCCACATTTTTCAATGGAACACTAGCATACGCCTCTCGTTATCTCCGAGGAGGCCATAACACGCTATAAATATGACGGAAGGACAGAAATGCTGCATCATGCCTGCCGCTAGGCGGTCCGGAAGAAGTCCAGTCCATTTTAGCATAAGTTACAGACTGCATGGAAACCGCTAAAAAGCCCGAGCCTCCCGTCTCTCCTGTCAGACTTCTAGCGCTTCACTCGGGCCGACAGCTACGATGCCGACTCCACTTTGACCGCCGCCTCCGGCAGCGGCGTCCGAGGCCTCGGTCCCCGTCCCGGTCCAGGCCACGTCCCGCGGCGCCCCCCGGCGGCTCCTGGCGGTGACCTCCGGCTGCCCCTCCCCTGGCGGAGGCGGTGGCTGTCGGCTATCGATCGGACCGGCGCGGCCGCTGCCAGTCCGGCGTCGAAGCCGACTCCGCCGCTGCGCCGGCAGCGACGCCGAGACGTCATCGACCGCACCTTATCGAGCGCGCCCCCCGAAACCGCTCTGGAGATTCGTGACCTGGGAGGCGGGTTTTTGATGCGGCTGGCCAACGACCGTTGACGACCACCATGCTGCCAGGTGAGGGTGCCGCCACGGCGAGCAGCGACGGCAGCGACGGCGGCGGCGGCGGCCGCCGAGGTGAGTCGATCAGCGTCCGGAGGGGCGGCCCCTGGCGGCGCTGGCGCCGGGTCGGCCAGGGAGGGACCGCCAGCTGGCCGTCGCCCCCCGCCCGGGCCGCACGCCGCGCCGCTGTGCGCCCAGAGAGATCCGTCCGCCGCCGCTGCCGCCGCCGGCGCCATGCTACGCTGCTTCGACTGCAACGCCTCGGCGGCGGACGCCGTGCCGCTGACGCAGGACAGTGAGTTCCGAGCGGGGGTGAAGTGGTGCAACTGGTGCAGCGGGCGCCGGCTGCACGGCGGCCATCGCTGCCGCCGCCCCTCGCCGAGCGCTGAGTCACGCCCGAGCTGAGGCGTTCTCACCAGCCGGGGGTGCCACGCCCCTCGGATCAGTGGAGGGGATGGACGCAGGCCGCGGCGGGACGGCGTGTCCCCTCGCCGGTGTTGAGTGCTCTTCGGCGTGTCGCTGTGGCTTGTGCCGGAGGGCGGGGCTGGGCGTGCCTGGGGCGAGGAGTGATCTTCCTCAGGGTGTCCGTCTGGCTCCCGCTCCGATCTTGTGGTGGAGTCGGCTGTCTTGTAGTCCTGAGTGATGTGACGCCCCAAGTTCCGAGCTGGGCAGCGTCTGTACCCGCCTCTGACAGGTTTTTCCCTTTCAGGCTCTTGGATGGGTCCGAGCAACCCGTCCAAAGCGGCGGCACAAGAGCCGGTGACAACGCAGAAAAGGTGCGGTCCCTGTCATATCGATTTTATTTATCGGCAGCTAGGCCGCAGACGGGTGTCCTTCACTACGTGAGGCAGACAAGCAGTTAGGCACTCAGTCACAATATCTTGTTGGAAGGAAAGGAGGAGACCCGGGCTAAGAATTCTGGGCAGTTAAACCGATACGAATTGTCGTGCCCCAGCCTTTTGCGACAGGAAATCACAGCGTAATGGTGCACGGATGTCGCTTTCATTTATCTGTTGCTGATGTCACTGACCACATATCAAAATACGAAGCCGTTTGAAGGCGTTGGCCGTCGAAGGTCGTGCAAAAAATTGTGGGGCCCCAACTACGTTCGTGAGTGTTTCCTTTGTCTCACAGCTTAAGTTTTGTCACAGTTCTGTGTGTTTCGCACGACACAACAAATATTGCTCACATGCTGATCGGAAGGATGTTATCTGTATCTTATCTGCTTCTTTTAAAGACGATGAACGTCATGCTCATCCCTTCGTTTCTGCGAGCTGCTCGTTCGTCGTGTAAGTTGCTTTGTCTGTCCTGAAGACTGAGGTGGAACTCCTGTCTTGATTACAAAAAGCACACTACCACCTTGGAGCCCGACTAACCGTGCCGATTGATGAGAAACTAGCACAGCTTACAATGCGCGCGATGGCTTATCCGGTACCCCAGCAGGTGGGGAGGGGTTACCGCCCCCTGGATAATGCGTCTGACGGTGCTGAGGTCAGCACAAGGAGTAATACCACCAGACGCATGTACCCTCTTGATGGTAACACGTGTCATATGTATAATATTGGCCACCAGTGTTCGTTTTCAGTGCACCACATACCAGGCAAAGATGCATGCTGGTGTTGAGGAAGTCCTAGTGATTTGCATTTTATGCGTCGTATCTCGAAAGTCATGGAGTCCTTTCCATACTTGGCATGGTTGCTGCTTCAAAACTCATAGCCCTTGTGATGTCATTTGATCTGCCAGCCGTGATTAGAGATCGCATGATTTGAGGTGGAACGAGAAGAATTCCAAACCTCATCAGGAATTCAGAAATTCAATTCAAAATTCAGAATACAGAAATCGGTCAAGGGGTGAAATGCACAGTAACCAGCGATGAGGGCTATTCACTGTTCTGTTCGAGTTCGAGCTAGCATGACGGTCCGGCATTGCAAAGATTCGAGTTCGAAGTGCACCAGCAACGTCCAATGTGACGTCACCTGAAGATATTCTCTAACTTTCCACTGCCTTGGCTTGTTGGCTTTTCACTTTTGCGGCTTATGTGCCGTGGGACTATTGCAAAGTTGTAGTTTCCTATCCAGTTGGGGGCTCCAGCCCTCCACAGCTTTGAGAAGGATGCGAACCAAATCCGGGGAGAAAATGCTTTTGGGGCGCAGGCCTGACCGAATATCACTGTTCAGCCCAAACTTGTTTTGCAAATCCTCACCCCCTAATTTATTGGCTCACCGTGATTGGTACACAACCAAAACTCACTGCATAATCTTAAAGGCCTGACCGGACGAACCTTTGAACCGATTGGTTCACCCTCGAATAACATTAAATGGAATGTTTCACATTTAATATACTGAATCAAGCTTCAGATACGATGAAACAGGCTCCCTTATTACTATTGGTATACTTTTTAAGTGGGAAAAACTGCTCTAGACAGCGCAATTTTTTATTAGTAAATATACTCCGTCAATGCGTCATGGTTTGATTACATCATCGTACCTTGCGCAACATTGATTGAGAGCACATGGACAGCCGTTATATCTGGAAAGCGCACTCACGAACGCCACATTTGAACACTGACAGTTTTGTTTTCTTGGCCTTCATCGCTGCATGGTTTATGGAATGGTAGGATTTGAATGACATTGCTATGATGTCATGAATGCCACGGTGACTTTGAAATGCTCTCCTTGATATACCTTTCTCCATTTTCGCGGGCGTGTAGGCCAGAAACTAGAAGAGCTTAGGTCGTAAGGACAACATTAGTGAGCAGCACCGAAAGGTCTTAAAGGTGGCCATTTCAGTTCAAAACCCCATGTAAATGTGTTAGTGACCTTTATTAAAGGTCACTAACTGTGATGGCGTGCATGATATAACAGTTTCAGAGCTTCACAGCAAATAATCGGGAATACTCGATGCGCGCCGAAATAAGAAGGCAATTCATCGCCGAGCGCTTATGCACCACACCTTCTCACATCCTAACATTTTCCGTGCAGTGCCTTGAGAGCCAGGTGATGTCAGCGACCTGGAATAACATCTAGCTAAATATTGCAGGTTGTGGGAATCCTTTTCGTAGAACCAAAGGGCTTTCATTAACCGCGCCGCCCACTCGCCCCAGCGAGGGAAAGTAGATGTCATCCGTGTGTGCAAAACAGTTAGTTCACATTTTCAACAAGATGGTTATAGATTTTGGGAAAGATGCTGGTAGCTATAAACGCTTTGCTGAAAACCCCGTGAACGCGAACAGTACTGAGCATCTACTCACGAACCGAATGCTGTTTCGCAGTTGAGCGCGAACCTTGCTCTGGTGCACGCGTCCGCCACTTCCCCTTCTAACCGCGCCACCGGGTCCGTGTGATAAATCCCATGTCATGAAAGCCGTCCTTGGTCGTGTCAGGAAGTCCAACCAAAACCGCCTGTCGCCAGCCCAGCCGGGGGGAGGGACGACCATTAGAGGGTCACTTCCTGGGCTCGAGCTGTGTCTGGCTCATCTCCGGCCGTTCCCACGGGCGGGCCGTTTTTCTGGTCGGCGCCATCGGCGGTCGATGCCGCCAGAATGAACTGGGTGCGGCCTCACGCGAGGGGAGAGTGATGGGGCTGGTGGCGGAGGACCGCAGACGGCAAACGGCCGCGACCCGCGGACCGCAGACGGCTCCGAATGAGGACCGCAGACGGCTCCGACTGAGGACGGCAGAGACGGCAAACGGCTGCGACCGCGGACCGCAGACGGCTCCGACTGAGGACGGCAGATGGCAAACGGCTTGCGACCGCGGACCGCAGACGGCTCCGACTGGGGACCGCAGACGGCTCCGAATGAGGACCGCAGACGGCTCCGACTGAGGACGGCAGACGGCAAACGGCCTGCGACCGCGGACCGCAGACAGCTCCGACTGAGGACGGCAGACGGCAAACGGCTGCGACCGAGGACCGCAGACGCTCCGACTGAGGACGGCAGACGGCAAACGGCTGCGACCCGCGGACCGCAGACGGCTCCGACTGAGGACCGCAGACGGCTCCGACTGAGGACCGCAGACGGCAAACGGCTGCGACCGCGGACCGCAGACGGCTCCGACTGAGGACCGCAGGCGGCAGACGGCTGCGACCGAGGACCACAAACAGTTGCGGCCAAGGACCGCAGACGGCTGCAGCCGAGGACCGCATACAGCTGGGATCGAGGACCGCAGACAGCAGACGGCATTGACCGAGCACTACAGAGGGCTGCGACCAGGGACCGCAGACAGCTGCGGCCGAGGACCGCAGACAGCTGCGGCCGAGGGCCGCAGGCGTACCAGCTGCGGTGGCAGCCAGACGTGGATGACATGGATGACGGGAGGACAGGGCGCCAGCCTCCAGGCTGTAGTCGCTGGAAAGCTGGCAGGGTGATCATGAGCGCTGTTCTAACTTTGTTCGTGAGCTCGCCACCGCGTCGCTGGGGCGGCTGACGGTCAGAACACTTAAGTACAGACTGGGCGGTGCTTGTAGCCTGGCAACGCTATCGGTCGGGTACTGGCGTGGGATACGCCTTTTCACTGCGTTCCCAAACTGCTCGCTCACGTCTCTCTCAGGCACGCCCATCAGAACTTTGCCGTTGTTGGCTTCTTTCCGGGCACGGATCACAATGCCGGTAGATGTCTCTTGAGCGCCACGCAGACCAACTTAGGGAATGAAATGTTAACACCAATACAAGTCACTCATTGGGGACGAAAGCTCACCCAGTGGCAGGGTGTACAGATGGAGACCCCGCCGCCTTGCTGTTGTCGCTCGGGACTGTGCTGAAGCCTACGTGACCCGGGCCAACTTAGCCTTGCGCTCTATTGGTTTACTGAAGATTTAATCAACCCATGCGACGCCGGTCATTGTAAATCGATGCCCGCCCTGATGAGCCCATGCTGAGTAAGATTATCCCGTGTCTGGGGGCGGAGGCGCCGTCTGATGTGCAGCTTAAGCTATATCTGAAGATGAAGATATATCAAGGGAGAGATGAAGATAGCGCGATGATCAGGTTTTTGCTTTGAGCCACGTCTGTTGGTGTAGGGATTTTCGACGTCCAGACTAGGCGTCTCATGGCTGTGGGCAGAACAGTTGCCTGATGTTCCGATGGCGGCATGTCTAGAGATGTCGAATTATTTAATACAATGTTAATCCAGATCTGAAGACAAAGAAGAACATTCGGGTCACAGCACGTCTGAAAAAGATGGGAAAGAAGAATAACCTCACGTTCGCACACACGATATCGGGAGACGGATAGAAAGGTGATGTTGAGATTAATCTGTCTCTAAGGTTGGTGGATTGCCTGATGTTCAAATTGCCTGAATTCTGGAGATGGAGCAGTTGCATGATATCGGGATTAATACATGTCTGGAAACAGGGCAGTTGCAAAATATTCATATATAATCACGTCTGGAGATCAGGCAGTCAGGTGATCAGATTAATTCAAGTCGGAGAGAGAAGGACAGCCTGATATCTAGATTGCTCAGTGCTTAAAGATGGAATTGCTCGATATCATTGCTGTCCCATGTGACGAGCTGGCGTTTTTAAGGGGGGGGGGGGGCGGGGCTGATCAAAGCGCATCTTGAATGAAAAGGACTCCATGGCAGTTACTTAAAGCTTGCAAGGTAGTGTGTACCTTGAGACTGACACCATTATCCTAGCATTATCATAAGATCGCCAGAGATGGAACTTGAAGCACAGTAGCGAAGTTTTCAATAGTTACGTGCAAAAACCTTTGTTTTGTTAGACATGTACACTGTGTGGGAAACGGCAAACCCACGTCAAACGAGACGCGCAGGAACGTCCCAGAGGCGGGCTGCCCATTTTTTAGGTAAAGTTTTGCCATCTACCGCTGTATACTTGATCCCTCCACTTCCCGAGAAGTTTGACAACACTTTTCTGTTCTGTTGTTCCTGCACCATGTGTTAATGAGATGCCAGACTCTCACATCAATATTACTAGATCACTGTCAAGCGTCACATCACTGCGAATTTACGGCCCACTCCGAGCATAATGGCTGACCACTGCGACAGCTACTGTAGGCCAATTTCGGGCGATGGCCTGGCAACAACAGCCCAACCCACCCGGCGTAGCCACGTCCGCCCGCGGCGAACCGGCACAGCCCCTCCCCGCTCACCCCCCCCCCCCCCCCCTCTCCGGCAGATCTGCGCTCAACACCGAGTACAAGCTCAAGTTCCGGCCATTCTCCGACTACACGTATGTGGACGGCCGGTTCTCCGGCGCGCAGGACGCGGCGGACGGGGGCGCCGCCGGCCGCGACGCGCCCGCCACGCCCTGGTATGAGGAGGTGGTCGAGCTCCGCAAGAAGGCCTCCAGCTACAAGGTACGTCGCAACGGGGGGCAGGCCAGCTGGCGGGCGAGGCCAGCTGCTGCCGGCACCCAGGGATTGTACGCATCGCTGCGTGGGATTGTTCCAGCAGGACACATAATTGTGTGGTATGACGAGTGTGGTATGGCCAGCCAGACTGCTTGGCACAAAGACGGTCACCGTAAGCTCGCGTGGCACATTCCACTTCCACACGCGCCGGGGAAAACAGACTAAGCCTTTTGATGAAAGGTTTAGTAAGAGGGCAAAACACGGTGGCATATTCTTCTGACACGTCTGATGCCTGCATTTTTGCCACGGTAGAAAGATATGCACCATGTGCAACGACTGCTTAAGTTGTTCTTTACGATGTAATTACTGAAAGTTTCAACATGGATCATATCGCGGGTAGCCAGGGTAGCGGGGCTTCAAATGGTGGTAGTATTTTGGTAAATAACCTGACAGCCGAGGACACAAGACAACGCTGGAAACATACCTTGTATTTTTTGTTGCTGGCGTTGACAGGTATTTGACAACATGCTTTTGTTTTTTTTATTTTTATGTTTTGATAATATTTGATAAGATGTTGTTGATGATAAGGTTCTGTTTGTTGTAAGGAAGATGCAACTAGAATCTGATTGGTAGGACCAATAACCTTCTGTCAAAAATCTGGGGGAATGGCACTGGGTCAGCAACGTCACCTCTGCCCATTGTAATCTTGACATTTTTGCTTGGGTCTTGCTTAGGTCTTGCTTAGATCTTGCTTAGGTATGCTTGACCGGTCAGTACAGGTCGTAACAAGATTACATTCCGTTTCCACTTATCCTGCACGACCACGCAATTATCAGAAGTGATGCCAGTTTCGATTGGACCACACCGCCACTCTTTCTCACTAAAATAGGATCACCCGTTTTCTCACATGAAATTTATGAGAATGGGTCAATCTGCGGGAGAGACTGCCCCGCCCCATCAAAGAGTTCATATTTTGGGAAGTGTGCACTAGATGGCATCAAACCCGGTGTGCAGTGCAAACGGGTAGGCTCGCGTAGCATGTAACCTGATCCCAAAGCCAACCATGCAAGGTCATTCGGAAGAAATACATGACGAAACTTTTCTACGCCAGCTACTTCACACCGTGTCCATGCCTTCAAACAAGTCGTAGCGTAAATGAGCCTGTGTGGATAAGCTTATCACTATAAGCTGTGGGCCGGTTAAATCATAGTTTTGCGCTGCTTCGGTCTGCATGTTTAAGACCATGCGTGCGACCACGCTTCTGGCTGGACGACACAGATGAGGATGCCCTCCAACAGCTTCTACGGTACCAGGGAAAAACGACAACAGCGCCACGAGTTTGCCACAGTGGATTTCAGCCCCCAGTGCGTATACAAGCGCATATTGCTTTCTCGCGGGAATAGCTACCCCAGGTAATGTCAGTTCATCGATCTATATCACCTCGCTGAAAAGCTGCAAAGATATTACGACCACACTCTTGTTTATAGTTTTATGTCAATGTGGGAATAAACCTATATATCAAATTATGCGATGCAAAATCATTAGAATGATATCGCGGGATGCATTTTGGGACTAGCAGTAAATGACATCACAAGCAAACAAGCCGATGTAGATGGCTCGATGGCATTTCAAAAATCAATGAGATCAATGGCCTATAAGCTGCGAGTGATGCGTTGCAAGATTATCATTATGAAATTACGAGGTCCATTATGAAATTAGTGGCGAATAACGTCCCTAGCTGATAGGTCAGATGGATGACTCGGTGACATTTCCAAAAACAAACGAGACCAACGGCTTATATGATAACATTATCCACGTTAAGTAGGCCCCACGCGAAAATGTGCGCATAATCAGATAGCTTACATGTCTGCGTGTGTTCAGTTTGTTCCAAAGGTGATGTTTACCGCAGGATTCGGTTTTTTGCCTTTTCATTAGTTGTCCAGGCAGAGTCACTAGCACATATGAGAATATCAGAATTTCACGAGCGCCAAGAGTTCATTTTATTCACTAATCGTTCAAGCGGCTTTTTGATTCGGTGCGGTTACAGTGCTAGTATGAGTCCAATATTAAGATACCACAATAACTTGAATACATTCGCACGTCGCTGATACTCTCGTGGGTCACACAACTTCGCCAGATTAATTTTGTTAAACGTTGAAATATTTCTCATAAAGGCAAACCAGCGATGCTACACAACGCCAAGCCAGCACTGTTACACCAGGGAAGCAAGCCATGCTACCGAGCGGGACAGTGTACATCCTCCAGTCTGGCACGGAGCTCGCGGGCGCGAGAGGTAGTGTACATCCTCCAGTCTGGCACGGAGCTTGCGGGCGCGAGAGGTAGTGATGGACGGTGCCTCCAGCACGGCGGCTCGAGGATGAAGCGGCGCGGTACGAGAAAGCCCCTGCCTGCCATCGACGGGTGAAGAGCTGGCAGATCAGGGGCGCCCGCCGCTTTCGCCCGGGTGGCACGCTGGCATGCAGCGGTACGTGGGCTGAACAGGGGCCGGGCCGCCACCGGCGCCCGCGAGTCATTCAGGGCCCTGAACACAGCGATGCTGTCACCATGGGGGACAGGGCCGCTAATACCGCATCAGCCCAACGCCAGAGCAGTAGCCGCCATTGAACCTTACCGATGAGCATCGGTGACGATCATAGACCCAAAGTTCATCCTCCATGCACTCTGTTTAGGTGACACAATGGTGGTAGCTCTATCACCATTGTTCTATCTGGTTTGGGCGACAGTTCTATCAACGCGGATATAGCTACAGTTCTTGGGAGCCTATCTTGCAGCTGTTTGTTTTTAAGTACTCGCGTTCAGGAGACTCAGATAAACTCATGCTGACGTTGACAAAGTTGCCGACAAGGACACGCTGGCGCTGCATGTGTCCTATCGTACACCTCACCCAGTGGAGGGTATATCCAGCCCCGTCCCAGCCGCAAGCGTCAGCGCTTGCAGGAGACAGCTGACCAGCTGATCAGAAGTTAGTTGAGTAGGAATGACGGAACTTCTCCCAGGTCGGCTGCTGGTACCCGATTTCGGTCACTTTTCAGTCAACACCCGTGGAGCCAATGTGAAATTTTCAGGGCACTTGGGGCTCAGCTCCTGCCCCTCGCGCCAGGAATCCTGTGCTCCTGGCGTAGAGCGCAGATAATTGAACTTGATACAAGGACGTCGGGCCGTCTTCCGACCTGCAGCGCCAGATGTCGAATATCTCCGGGAAGTTGGCGGCTACCTTGGCATACATTGGTTCATCCTGCCCAGGCGACCCGCGTTGGGGAAACAGGATTTACACGTGCTGAAATGTCAACAAAGTAATCCCGTCGTAAACATGATGGCTGCGGTCATTTAAGACTCATCTGATGTGGTATTGGAAACAAACGTCACCCGCATAAAACTGCATGGTATTCTGGATGGGTTGTCGCGACAGCTCAAGGTTGTTCAACTTGAAGCAACTTGGAGTAGTCCAGAACCTTCTGGACCTTTCGGACTACTCTTCTGGAAAAACGATGCTTTTGGGATGCCTCTGGACATCATCTTTAAGCTTTCCTTGATTATCTCAATTCTTCAAGTAAGCATTGGAATAGTTTCCGCTGGCGGTAGATAGGTGCCCACATGATTTGTCGCTTACGAGTATATTTAACATGCACGTGTGCGCATGTGCATCCATGTGCGCGCTTTGCTGACTTGCTAAGTCGGTGGCGCGTCAGCGATTTCCACACTTTCGACGCGAGGGCCGAAGTCTCCGAGATACGTCACTGAATTCCATAGTACTCATAGTAGTGATCCCATAGTAATACATCACAGCACGCGCATCCAGTAGGAGACGAACCAACGCCTGAACGAAGGAATAAGGGGAGTAAACATTGGATGCTATTTCAGGCTTCCGGAAGATATTGTCGGCGTAGTTACTGGGAATATCATGACTTCGCCAAGCTGTTGCGGTGGCATAACTCACCCATCCCAGACACCTACAATCGGGTATGACATCCGCACCGCCCGGTGAGATGACTGACGACAACTGACAGCGACGCGGAGATCCGTCAGAAACGCCACAGCCAAACCAGGCCACGACGCCGCGGCAGTGCTCCGCCGCCGTCTGCCCTCGCGCGCGCACGCCGGCCGCCTACGGGGTGACGGCTGTAGGCGGGGCCTCATAATCCGATTCTTGCGAGCCTCGGCAATTGTTCGTTCCCAGACGGCGTCTGCCAATCGGTGATATCCGTCTCCGAGCCTCAGGGGATATCACAGAGGCCGGACCGGAGCGCGCCGCCATGGCCGCTCGAGCCTCGAGTCATGGCCGCTCGAGCCTCGACTCATGACCACCCGAGCCACGTGTCACGAGCCGGCGCCGGCTGGAGGTCATCACCAGGCGGCCTCCCGCCTCGCAACCGGCCGCTGCTCGCGGCGCGCCGACGGCCGTGACGTCACCGTCTGGCTTCCGTTACGAGCGGTGGTCGGCGTCGGTGGCGGCGACGAGCCGGCGCTGCCGCCGCGGCGCGAGAGAGGCGGCCCGCCCACCGGCGCGGCGGGTCGGAACGGCGCCGTTCGGGGCTCGTTTGGCGGAGGTATCAGTCGGCTCAGAGAGAAGTCGCGCGGAAAAGGGACGGTGGTGGCGAAAGTGCCCACCAGGCGAGCTGGAGGCCGTGGCTTAGAAGCGAGAGAGCGAAAAGGGTGAGGGAAGGGAATGTTCGTCGTCAGGTAAAGCCGTTCATTTTTCGGGCGTGACTTGGTGGAGTGGTGCGACCGGGTATAGCGGTGAGTTCAGGAGAAAGCGGAACCCCTCCTAAAGCTGTTACTGTTGTCAACCTCTCTAGACACACGCAGACGCTACGCGGCGAGCCTTCATGACACTTCACATCCGCTGGTTATTTCCGGTATGTACAGCCTTGCTCCAGCGCAGCTCTACGGCCGGCGCTAACGTGTGCTCCTCTGACGCGTCCAGGTGCGAGGATGGGGCCGGGAGATGGCCCAGCCCCACCTGGCCCACCTGTACGACAGGGAGGAGGATCCCAGTCTGCTGGCGGAGCGCAAGATCATCTCGGCGCTCTACCTGGAGACCCTGAAGCCCGGGTTAGTGTCTTGCCCAAACGGAGGCGATCAGGCGGCCTGACGTCAAGCACAAAGAGTGCGCGTCGGATGTTGCCCAAGATGCATGTTTTGGCACGACGATATCGGAAAAGGAGACATGTTACAAGGTTGTGTGACGCGGCTTGAAGCAGGTTGCACAGTGATGTGGCTTCCAGGTCGAGAGCCGGCGTCGCTCAACTCCCAGACTTGCTGGGGAGCAAGTCTCCCAGTGACAGATGGTTACGCTTCGCTTCGGGGAGACAACGGTGTCGTCGGTAACCGATACTTGTTCCAGTGGCAGATCCCAAGGCCCGTGGGGCCCATGGTAAGGGCCCCCCTCCCTTCGGACCTACTCTGGGGACCCATGAGGAACCGGATGTTGCGGAACACTGTAAAGTATAGCGGGCCGCAATAGCTTTAGGGTACCCCATACGCACACATTTGCACGAGACTCGATCGTTCGTCGTTTCTTTACCTATGAATCAAATCACATTGCATAATTACATCTGTGGTAAAGACCTGCCATCTCATAGCAGGGCAACGGAAGGCAAAATAACAACGTCGTGGTTAGCTCTTCCCCGGCCCCATTTCGCTCTCAAATTGACTGCGAAGGATCGCTTCTCCGCCGACAACAATTTTTTCAGTCCTGCGTGCGTACTTCACAATGCGGTCAAACTCGTGACAACGGTCTTTAAACCGAAGGCTTCTAGAAAACGACGAAAGCCAATACTTCCCAAAAAAGCCAAATATTTGCTGCTCTAACTGATCACTGATTATTGACCACCACGTCATGTTGAGCCTATTGTAGAGATAAATTGAAGATTATTGTGGATTCAGATAACACCTGACAAAGAGCTCCGCAGAGCGCAGCCGTCACATCACCGATCCGATGTCGCCGAAGTCGACATAGCCGGAGCGTTGATTTGGACTGGAGGAGGCATGGGCTGCAAGCTGCTTCGAAAACGAGATCAAAAGTTCAATCCATGATTAAGACAGACACCGTTCGACTGCGTTGCGGCTTGTCAAGAATGTCGCTGTAAAGTTGACCGATAACGTTTTATGCTGCGGCGTCAAAGTCGTGTGGGTTTAACGGGTTTTAGCGCGTAGCTTCAGCGGTCCGAGGGTTCTATGTTTCTCCGAGTTGGCTGGATCCACACCTCCTTAGTGTTGTCCTCTGTGTCGAAGCCAGAGTAATGTCAACGTTTACGGCCGAGTGTTTCGACGACGATCGGTGATCAGATCAAAGGACAGTGCGCCAATGTTGTTTAAAATCGACGTTCACAGCCAGCTCTCACTCGCGATCAAGTATCTCGGGTTTCCCGCGACAGCAAGCGTCACGGGAGATCGCGACAATGAATAATCTGATAACCGAACGCGTCAGCCCAAAAAGTCGCCATTATGCTTGTGGTGTGAGCTCGAAGTGATGAGCAAAGTTGTATGAAGAGTAACGAGAGTGGCATAACCAGAGCCGTGAATGGCATGGAGTGAGTATTTGAACACGGCTCAGCCCTGTGGGAAAATCAGGACACTTTGCTACGTCACTTGCGTGCGGCTTAAGTCCTGTAATGGTTTCTAGCAGTACCAAGGGTCTTGACACATTCACATCCTTCAATGACGGTGGCACTTACTTTTTTGTGATCCGGGGATGCCTTATAGCATTTGCACGGCATCTAAAACAACGCTGGGATTCAGACGAGTTTGGCTTCATGTGGCTCTCATTGAAAGAGGGATACAGTATGAGTGGCACATTTGATCGCATGACAATGACAACCAATCACGAGTTCACCAGTCGGTGTAATGATTGGTCGCGTAACATGCACCCATGTGGCCGTGCGCGAACCATGTGATGTCGGCTTACGGTCTCCAGGATAGCTTCAGACGCCAGTAGGGGGCGGTGACCGTCCGGGCGCTTCGGGCGCCTCGCGCGAGCGGCACACTTCCGGTGGAGCGGCACGGCGTGCTGAGCCCAGCGCCGCTGCTAATACTCATGGCCGGTCGGCAGGCTCGTTCGGGAGGAGCGCGGCAGGAGTCCCGTGGCCACCGGCGGCGCTAGCGTGCGTCAGCAGTCGCACCCTCCGCCGAGCACCAGAAAGTCGCCAGGAGCCACGAAGGTAGGTGGCGCAGCGGCGACGGACGAACGCTGGCAGGTCGTGTCGCGGGGCCGGCCGGTCGCCCATCTAGGAGATTTATGCTGCTGCAACTGGTCACGGTCTTCCGCGACTCTGGTCACGTCAACTCATCCTTGGTGCGTAGAGCGATGATAGATTGCTGAGGCCCTTGGTGACCAGCCAGAGTGGGCCGGCCCCGACACTAACACTTCGTCTCCCCGGCCACAGATGGCGCTCAAGCTGCATGCGGCGGAGGGCTCCAAGCGGCCACACAGCGCACAGCCTTCGTCAGAGCGGCACGCTGGTGAGTTACCGCAACAGCTGGAGCGTGACCGCGCCAGCTGTGCGCCGGCTTTCCGGTGCTCCGGCGCTGCTCTGCCGACCCAAGCTCCCACCGGTCGCAGCCCGCGTCAAGGCCACGGATGGAAGGTGGGCTGCGACAGCTGTTGCTGCAGCCTAGCCGACTTTTGTAGGAGGGAGTAGTAAGCCTGTTGTAAACATTAATGCGCTGACAGGCTCCTTCTCGCAGCTCTCCCACACAGACGCGTGGGAGAATGGTGGCATTATCCGCACGTGGCATGGGCGCTGTGCGGAAGGCACTTGCTGATCCAGTCGCGCAACGTTAGGAAATTACCGAGAGCTCTCCACTTAGCTCGGCTCATTCTCGTCCCAATACGAAGATTGCAGCCCTCGACTGTGATATCATCCTAATCCCCGACTTACGAGACGGCGGTCAGGTAGCGATCTTTCCTGGCCCACGGTCAATTGATAACAGATGACACTTGACAAGCGACACTCCGCGGCGGCCCCCAGACGAACGCTTCTCCTCCCCCACGCCCAACGACTCCCCCAAAAACGATCTTGTATGAACAGCTGACACAAACCAACCAAAAGACGTCGATGCTGCACCATCGCTCTGTTCTCAAACCCCGCTGATGAAGTTAGTACACGCTACGTCTCAGTGCCGTAGCCAAGGGGGCTTTTGGGGCAGCGTTCCCTTCTGGAGGTGGCGGAGGCCTCTTGAGAGTGAGTGCTCCGGTGCTTTTCGACACTTTAAGATGTTGCAAGTCTTCTAAAATATAAAAACAAAGTGGGTATTTGAAGCATCAAAATAGGACCCGGGACTAAAAAGGTTGAGTTGGCCCTATCCTCACCGATTCCTGCTTACACCACAGCCCGGAACAGTTCAGTGTAACAAAATGACTGACGAACTTCAGGAATCTTGACATACAGTGAACTCCAAGGAGCACTAATTTCAAGTGTTGCACAAGAGAAGGTTTAAAAACATACCAGGTGGGAGACACCGAAAGTGAACGACACAAACACTCAGCTATACCGCCAAAAACCAGATGACGTCATCTCATACAAACGCGATGGGGCCATCGATGAGTAACATCCTCACGAGTCTGTCAGTCCTGCAGCCTCCATTGCATGGACGACAGCAAAAAGGAACAAGTGATACAAAGGTCCAAGGATGAGAAATTGTCATCACAAAACGAAAAAACATCCACAGTAGCACAACATTCCGTAAGGACAAGTGTTATCACTAGATTCCAAAGCCCAAACAAAACTTGTACACGTTATCTCTCAGTTTATACTGAAGTCACTACGACGGACACATGCCCCAGAACAGTGGCGCAGTTTTAGAACGGCCCATCAACAGCCAATGCTCCTCACCAACAAGAAAAACAACACCGGACAAGATCAGACGAAGTACACGTCAATCATCTAATCACGAAGGCGAAAGAGGGCTTTTCATCTTGAGCGCGGTCAGCTGCACCAGTTGTCTGCAGGAAGTTTGGTACACGAGAGCAAACCCAAACAGTCAGTACCCAGTTATTTTGTTTCGCGGTTCACAATGCCGCGGGATCGTTATTCCAATTTTGCTTTCCAGGAAGCCGCGTTTTCACAACCTGGCGAAACCGACCGCCAAACATATTCATTTCTAAAGCTAGATCACGCCCGACTGCGCGCTAAGAATCGCTTCGACAACCATCGCGGCTGTCGAGACCAGTTCGCTTTGACCACGTTGTTTGCGTTTGGGGGGCGTGACACCCTGATGAATGTCTGCCGCGAGCCCCGCCCGAGGCGCACACGGCCGGCCGCTGGGGAGCACCGCCGGACCCCGGCCGGCGACCTGGCTGCAGCCTCGAGACCGTGGCGCGCCCAGCCAGCGTATACATTGCGTCATGACGTACACGTCCAGAAATATCCGCCCCGAGCACATGCCTTCGATATCTGCTCTCATGCCGCGTCCGAGCTGCTGCTCGAGATACTGCTGCTGCAGCGGGCAGTCGACTGACCCCGTGACCGCTGAGGCGGGCCTGGGCGGGGAGGGAGGGGGCGTACCCGGCGCGGCCCGCCGCCGGGTTGGCCGGCCGCCAGACACGGGAGTGGGCGGGTGCTGCCGTCGGCGGCGCGCCCATCGCATCCCGATCGAGCTGATGGCCGCCCGCTGTCCGCAGGAGACGCCGTCGACCGGGCCAAGGGCCGCAGCCCGGCCGCGTCGCGCACGCCGACAGCCAAGGCGGACGCGGGTGCGCCGGCCGAGCGACCCAAGGCCAGGAAGCGTCCGACCGATAGGCCGCCGGCGCCGGCGCCCGCGGCCGCCGCGGCCAGCGCCGGCGGCACGCCCGACTCGGGCGGCAAGGGCATCCGCGGGGGTACGCCCCGCTCGCGCTCCGCCCACCGCCTCGCCGCCAAGGCCAGAAGCCCGACCAAGGCGGAGAAGGCGCCGCCGCCGGCGCCGATGGCCAGCAGCGCGCCGGCGCCCGAGACGGCGCCGGAGCCGGAGCCAGCGCCGGCGCCGGCGTCGATCGACGCCGGCGAGGACGCGCCGCCGGCGGCCAAGCCGGCCGAGGAGATGGTGCGCAGCGCGCCTGAGCCGACCCGGGTCAAGTCGCCGGAGCAGATGGCCCCCATCAAGTCGCCAGAGCCGGTCAACTGGACCGTGCCGCTAGACACCGGCAAGACGTTCACCGTCACCCAGAACGTGATGCCAGGTGCGTGGATGTCGGCGCGCAGGCGAGGTGTGGTGCCGAACCGACCCGCTCTTAGGCGTTGTGTCGGAAATTCCAGAAAATGGACCGAATTCAAGGGGGCCATTCCACGTAACTGATGTCGTCGAAACGAAGCTATTTCGGTAACATTCTCGTTACGGCCAATCCGCCCTTTAAACTGCATTCATCGCTCTCTGTTCCCACTGCCGCCAGGCCGCATTTTAAGTCTAATTATAACCAGGTGGGTCTAGTCCACCTCGCGCACGCCATTATCTCGTCACCGAGAACTCGAGGCAGGTTCAATTGGGTAACCCCCCCCCCCCCCCCACGCTACGCCCTAGAGCCTAGACAGCCGCCGCCGTCCTGCAGGGTTACTTAAAGCGTCCGGCTATTGACCGGACCGCGCGGCGCCAGCAGGCCATGGCTGCCGCTCATAAGGGCCCCGGTCCCCTGTGTCGGCCAGGCCGTCACCGCGCGGCAGGCCGGCGGCTGGAAAGTTCCACACATGCCTCCGGTCCTCACGGATTCAGCGATGCGCTGCCGAATTTCGGCAGGCTTGCTCGGCTCAGCCAGCTGGGGAATGACCTGGTCGCCAGGTGCGCCAGCCACTTCTCGTGCCCCCAGCTGTACCGTTCCGGGTCCTGGCTCCTCAGCGTTTCTGTTGAGCCCCCCACAGCGTGCGTCCTGCAGCCCTATATCAGCTCCAGTCTGCCTGTGGCGCTAACGCCGCCCGCTCGCTCCGGCAGGCACCGGCAGCCCGCAGTCGTCGCGGGCCGACAGCCTGCGCTCGCCGGGCGACGAGGTGGCCCGGTCGCCGCTGGCGCGCGGCGTCACGGACGTCTCGCACCTGCGCAACGGCGAGCCGACCGACAGCCCGCTGGTCAACGACCTGCCGTCGGCGCCGCCGGCCGCCAACGGCCAGCAGTCCGACTTCAACCACCGCGACGACGTCGCCGGCGACCCCATGTCCATGTCCATGGTGGGCGACGAGCTGCAGCGTTCGTTCCACGCCGCGGACCCCATGTCCGGCTCCATGTCGGGCAAGGAGTTGCAGCGTGCCCTCCAGGACCCGATGACGGCCTCGATGACGGGCGACGACCTGCAGCGCTCGCTCCACGACTCGATGACGGCCTCGATGACGGGCGAGGACCTGCAGCGCTCACTCCACGACCCGATGACGGCCTCAATGACGGGCGACGACCTGCAGCGCTCGCTCCACGACTCGATGACGACCTCGTCGGCGGGCGGCGACCTGCCGCGCGCGCCCCACGACCCGATGAAAACTTCGATGACCGGAGACGAACTGCAGCGCTCGCTACACGCAGAGCCGGCCGCTGGCGACGCGGCAGCGGCGGCGCCACCGGACGAGCCTGCGCCGGCCGGGCGAGCGGCGCCGGCGCTGCCGCGCGTGCTGGACGACCCGCTGGCGGCCGCCGGCTTCGGTCGGGCGCCGGAGCCGGAGCCGGCGGGCCGGGCCGAGAGGCCGCCGACGGCCAGCCTGTTCAGCTCCGGCTCGGCCGGTCCGCCGCGCTTCTCGCACGAGCTGTTCGGCTCGGGCCGGCCGGCCGAGCCCAAGCCTGACGCGCCCGAGAAGCCCACCTACAGGGTTATCTAGCCGCTCGGGCGCCGCCAGTCGCGTGCTTTCATTTCCGCGGTAGTCGACTAACCGGGGCCGTGCCTCCTTACTACGCCGCCGCAGCCGCCGCCGCCGTCGCGGGCGCCCTCTCCAGCTAGCTCGGTGTGCTCGCTTCGCCCGCCGGCGGCCAATGGGGGCCCGCCGGGAGAGGGAGGGGAGGGGGTGCGCGCCCGACCGAACGCTCCAGATGTTCCGCTTCTCTCGTTCCGCTCCGTGAAATACTCTGCTTTCCCAGGTCGTTGTGTTGCCAGGCTGCATGCAGCGAAAAGACTGCACGATGTGTAAAAATAAACATTTCCAGAAATGGCGAGTGGTTCAGACAATGTGTCCCGCAAACAGGGCTTTGGAAGACAACGATGCAAAAAACGACATTGGTGGATCACCGGCCTGAAGCTTTATTAACGTTAATGTTAATAATCCCGACTCTGAGTACCATATTATTCACAACAAAAGAACAAACACTAAAATAATAATGTACTTGAGAGAGGGAATGAAAGCGTTGCGAGCTGCGGTTACATCACGGTCACTCCTCGTTTTGTCGGCAATAAATTAAACGGACGCTCTCCTCTCCGCAGGACAGTTAGTGCACAAGAATTTCAAGACATTCCACATAAGCTACCGCAGATTTAGCCGGACTTGAACAGTAGGATGGCTACTTGTCCCAGGTAGAAGTAAATGAAGTGCTTGGTCTCGTGCGTAACGTAACTGCCGAAGTTCCGGCCCACGATGCAATGCCAGGTGGGGTTGTATTTCTTATCGAACTCCTTCTTGATAAACGCCGCGATGTCCTGAAACAGAGGTTCGGTGCGTCACTCTTCATTCGTTCATCTGCCGTCAACCAATAGCATCAGCAGGCTGCTTAGTCTCAGATCAGACCCGACAGATTCGTAAATAAAACGGTTCTGTGGACCACGTCTGCGAAGGCGCCAACAATCAATGCCGTGTTACGTCAGCAGAATTCAGGTCATCCAATTGTTGCTCACGTTCAGTAACATACACTGGCTTTTGAATTGATCGCTTCGTGCCTCACAGATCAGCATTTTTCACAAGATAACGTTCGCCACCACCTCACTGCTGACTTCATGAGCCAGGTCATCAAGACACCGATACCCGTTTTCCTGTTGGAGCTGGACTTCGTTTTATCCACAAGGTAGTGTCATCACCGCACCGATCCACTAACTGTGCAACAACACCTGCATCGACAAAAGATTATTAAGGAAAAAGAGCGTCATTTTCCCTGAAAGTAAGACCAGTAAAAGCCCTTTACAATGTGGGACCAGCGGTTGATAACACGTGATTGTCAACGCCATGTAGGTGATGCCTCAACATAAGCGACTGATGAAACGCACGATGGAATCTGTCGCATCTGGGACCAATATGGATAGGAGCTACCAATGCATTCTAACATCCCACTTCCATGAGTCTGGCAGGCGGAGGAGCAACTGATGCTCATCGTACGCGCATTCCACATCTTTCCCTAGAATGTTGGCTAGCTTTACATAAGCCTTGCCAGGGCCTCGGAAATTTTATCGATCAACGATTTAGATCAAGAGTGTGACAGAGAACGCTTGCTGGGCAAGACGCAAGCAAAACAAACACAGCATTCACAAGGCCTGTCATTTCATTTATTGTTGTGAACTACAAAAAAAAACAGTATACCACTAAGGCCAACGGCTCCAAAAAAATCGGGTTAGAGGAAGTAAAACGAACAGAATTACCCACACTGCACCGAAAAAAACAGCCACCAAGTTTGGCAAAAGAGTACCAAGATCACGCTCCATGCCCAAATTATATACCGCTTGTCCCACCTACGTATTATCCATTACTCACAGGATCGAAACGGCAGGACCGGCACCACCTAGCCGCTTTATCGTTTTCCCGCGGAGAAGAGGGCAGCTGACGACACGATCCGACACTGACCGGCCACGCCCAGGTCGGAGGTCGCCCCTCCCCACCACCGCAATACTCCGAACCAGTGCCGTCACATAAACCGGGCGCTGGATAAATAAACGGGCCGCCTTCCGGCATACCAACCGGCCAGACAGCGCCGATCGGTCTGCACGGCGCGAATCAACCGACCCCGCTCCACTTCACACGCTTGACCTGCGGTCGGGAACGACCGCCGTCATCCGCCGGTTACGCTTTCACTAGGGTCACAATGCCACAGTGGACCCCACATTGCGGGCATTCCTGGCCTGTACGGTCCTGGCGTCGAGGATCATTCGACCGCGCTGCGGGATCTCCCACTCGACGTGGCTAACGAGGACAGCACACACAGCTCAGGGCAAGCGGATGATCGGTACACTGACCAATGCCACCGAGCATTTCCTCTCGGATGGAGAAACCCACATTCTGAGGATGATGATGGGTCAAGCGTTAGACTCATTCCGTGTTACTACGCACGTCACGCTCGCACGCCTTGGTGCTGAAAATAACAAATTTTGCAGCTGGGAGTTATTTCTGGCACCGTAAGATGCAATCGTATCGCGCCCACATGGGAGAGCTTCAGGAGGCTGCCACCTCACCTCAGTTTCCCCAGTGACATGTTTATTTGTCACATGCTGACCTTCCTCCGCAAAACACGCGGCACGGAGAACTCAACGTCCTCGCCTCCACATTCAGTCGTAAGTTACAATTCAAGTCAATTTATTAACACGCGCCCGGGTGGCCGGCTAGATACCCTTCGCTCGGGTGGGGGTCAATTTGACCCCCTAACATCTCAGGAACTAAGAAAGCTAGCGACACCAAATTTACAGGGTGTGTTGACCTGTACGTGAACTCACTTAGGTACAAGTTTCAGGTTCCTAGGTCATGACCTTCGGGTCAAATAAGGTCAAACAAGGCCAAATTCCAGGTTGGTCTCGAAAGTGCCCCCAGAACCTTTATAACCGTTTCTAAGCAAAAGGTCACGTGCTCACTTAAGGTCAATAAACTTGGTTGACCTCTTGAAGGTCAAGGCGACCAAAATCATACAAGATTGCTTTAAGTTTTGCACTTGACTGAGCGACAAGGATTACGCTAGGTAGTATGTTCCTAAAACAAAATGTTGACCTGGGTCATTTTAGGTCAATGAACTATTCTGACCTCTAAGAAGATGCTGTATAATGCGGTTCCTGCAATCAATAAATTTGAAATGAGCACCAGAAACTATCCCACACAGTAAGCCCTAGAGAAACAAAACAGGTTGGTTTTGACGCTGGTGTGACATTCATACCTGATCTTAGGTCAATGTAATTTGCTCATTCAACTGTTGTGTTGCCTAAGAAACCATCTCAGAATGTGTGGCTTCGTCTAACACTCCCTTGTTGAATCAGATTGAAGGATTCCCTAGAAATTGCCTTCGCTGAAACCATGGCCTGACTTTGACCTGCCACAGGTAAGTGACCTTACAAGCTACATCTAATTGTTTTATGTCAAACGATCCGGCATTCAATTGTCTACAGCTATGCATAATTTGGTGCGGATGCGCCGCGCCGTTTCGGGAACCATTCTGGAAAAACCTTCGGGGGGTCAATTTGACCCCCGCCCGAAAGCGTGTTAACGAATCATCCCAACAGCGCTGCAGCATTTGATCCCAGCCAAACCATATTACTACTTGACATTACATTGCACGACCACTGGAAGAGCACTCGCCTGGGCTACGTGTCCGGAACGCGAACGGGCCCGCAAAAAGCCTCCGTGGCCCGCCATCATCAGCACGCCTACTGGGCAGATAAAGTATGGACAAAACGCCGACTATGCAACAATAATGTCCGCCTTTCAAAAGCAGGTTGAGAAGTTTCCAACAGAACGTGCTCATCCGTAGACATCCTTGCCGCTGTGCCGCCACATTACGGCGGCACTGTCTTTCGGTCATAGGCTCCTTAAGTGCTCTGCGTAAGACGCTCTCGACTGATTGGTCCTATTCATCGTATTTACTTGCATCTTACCTCATACATACCTTCATTCAGCTTAACCCCGTACAAACCATACGCGCCGTGGCCTAGGGCCGCCAATGTTGACGTTTCCACAACGCCATCAATAATACAAACATGGTGCGTATCAGACGACGTCGTCGTGACCACACCAGCCTGCCGGGGGCCGCCTCTAGTCGGCCAGGACCGCCAGCAGCCTGTCCGGCCGCTCTCACCTTCTCGATGTTGTACTTCTCGAGGGCTTGCGTGGCGCAGTCGACGGCGTCCTGCTGCATCTCCTCCGACATGTCGGCGTTCTTGATCACTGCCTTGCGGTCCGTCATCGTGACTCACTGGCGGCGGCAGGACGATGACGTCACGGCGGGCGCGGGCAGCCGGCACCTGGCCGGCCAGTAATAGCCTGCGCGTCGGCCCGCCCGCCGACCGGCCGGCCCGGCCACGGCCGGACCGTTCGGTGCCCTTCTCTCCCACACCCTCCCCTCATACTGATCAGTAGAACACCCACTGTCACATGCGGTCAGGAGGCCACATCGAATCATGCGGACAGACCAAGCCTTCAAGGCATCCTCCTGCCAGAGACAACCAATTAACTGTTTCCTTATTTACATACACTAAAATGGGTTGGTTGCATACACTAAATGAGTTGATGTCTAACAAATGGATGATGGTAACAATCACTTCAGTGCTAGTTTCTTAACTTCTATGTACAAGATGATCAGTGACTTCAGTTTCTATATATGGAGAGGCAAATATGTAGCTATGTCAGTTGTGAGGGCAATGTGATACAAATAAAAACACAAGGATATAATGAGTATCACACATTATATTATGCTCTACAATATATTTTATTGTCAGCTCAGTAGACAATGAGCTATAAAAATCAGCATTTACAACAGCAGTCATAATTATAAATGCCAGCCTGGCACTACATGGTGAAAACGGCACCAGTCTAATTGATTCAATCTAGAAACATCATACATGAAAGATTAAATGCAACAATTGCATTTCATATTCCTTTCCATCCCACCCCATTCTCAAGTTTCATGGAAAGCCTATCAGGATCCTATCATCCATTGCCTGCTCCAAGAACAGTCAGCTGATGGCAAATACTCATGTTATTTTTATATTCCTAGTTCTGCCCATGGAAAGCAACAGCATAAAAACAGTCAGAATTAGTCTGTCAC